GTGAGCCACCGCGCCTGGCCAAAAAAAAGATTCTTGTAATTGCAATCAGTCCAGCTTTTCTAAAAGGACAGAATTCTGTGCATTTACAAAATAAGTGTATGATCATATCCCTTTGCCCTAGGACTGTGAAAGAAATGCATTTGTAAGTCTAAGAACAGATTTAGGAGGCAGGGTCCCGTTGCCATAATTTTCTTGGTAGATCCCTGTGTACTGTATACGTGAAAGGTAGAGGATTTGAAAGAGAATTTGCATTATATTTGGGAAAAAACATGGGGGGATTTTTTAACTTTATTGAGGTATAATTTACATACTGTAAAATTTAAGCATTTTAAGTGTACCGTCTAATGTCTGTAGTGCAACATGAGCACAATCTAGTTTGACAACAATTCCATTCATCTGAAAGAGTTCCCTCCTGCCCATTTGTAGTCAACCTCCATTCCCACCTCTCACCCCAGACAACCAGTGATCTGCTTTCCAACTCTAAAGTTTTGACTTTCCTAGAAATTTCATATAAATGGAATCATGTGATATATCTTCTATGTCTTCTTTCACTAAGTGTAATGTTCTTGAGTTTCACCCATGTTGTTGAGTATATCCATTCATTCCTTTTTACTTCTGAGTAAAACTACATTGTGTGATGTACCACATTTTGTCCATTTACCTGTTTATAAATATTTGGATTGTTTATATTTGAAGCTATATGAATAATGCTGCTGTGAACATTTGTTTACAAGTCTTTTGTGGGGGCATATATTTTAAATGTATATTGGGTAGATATCTAGGACTGAAATTGCTGAGTCGTATGGTATGTTTCTTTTTAACTTGGTAAGAAACTAGCAAACTGTTTTCCAAAGAGACTGTACCATTTTACATTCCCACTAGCAGTGTGTGAGTGTTGCAGGTTTTGCACATCCTCATCGACACTTGATATTGTCACTTTTTTAACTTTGGCAATTTTACTGGTTGTGTATCTGATGACTTTAATTTGCATTTCCCTAATAAATAATGAGCTTGTTAGACATTTTTGTATCTTCTTTGGTAAAGTTTCTATTTTAATTTTTTTGCCCATTTTTCAGTTGGATTGTCTATCTTACTGAGTTGTGAAAGTTCTTTATATGTTTTCTATACAAGCCCTTTTTTAGATACGTATTTTGCAAATATTTTCTCCGTGCGTGTGTGTGTGTGTGTGTGTGTGTGTGTGTGTGTGTTTTCTTAACCCATGTAGAAGTCTGGGGCATCAGTGTGTTTCTTAATGGAGTCTTTTCACAAAAGTTTTTAATTTTGATAATGTCCAATTCAACATTTTTTCCATTTATGAACTATACTTTTGATATCATATCTGAGATATCTTTGTCTAACCCAAGGTAACAGATTTTATCCTGTTTTTTTCTAGTAGTTTTGTAGTTTTTATAGCTTTAACTCTTATTTAGGTCCATGACCCATTTCAATTTAATTTTTGTGTATGGTATGAGAGAACGTTCAGGGTTCTGTGTGTGTACTTGGATAATTGTTCTAGCACCACTGGTTTAAAAGACCGTACTTTCCCATTGAATTACCTTGGTACCTTTGCCAAAAATCAATTGACCACATATGTGTGGGTCCATTTCAGTAGTCTCTTCTGCTCCATTGTTACATGTCTGTGTTTTTATGCTGAAATCAACTGACTTGATTACAGAGCTTCATACTAACAAACCAAGGATTTCCAGATTGACTATCTTTCCCACCCTTGTCCACGTGAGAGAAGGGCAGCAGCAAGTAAAACTGGGTCAAATAATCAGGAATCACCAGGTGAAAGCCCTGTGCTTGCCACACATTATCTGCATATAAAAGACATCTTATCTTTTCCTACAACTTTCCTTCCACATTTGGAGGCCTGCTCTTGTAAGTTCTATATCCTAAGGGAGAACATAGCAAAAGGCATGTTTATTTTCCTTTCCTTTGCTTAAGAGAAGGAAATTAAGGCTACTGCTACAGCCAACTTTTTTTTTTCCTGGTGGGGGTAGGGAACACATCATCATTTCCTCTCTTTATTTTGTTTAAATATTAGTTTTAAAATCTTGGAAATAGGTTTTTGTCACATAGGCCTTGCTGTTAGTTGATTAATACACTGTTACTTGTTTTAAAAGAAGAAATTTTCATCACCATCCAGAGGAACTGAAGAGTATTTAGAAACATTTATCAACAAATACCTTACTCATGTTCTTAATAGGCAGTATCAATAAAGAAGAAAATAGACACACTTAAATCTTTGCTGTTATGTCTAGAATGTTCATTTGGCCCTTAAACTTATAGATACTTGTTAATTTTTTTCAGCGGACTTTAAAGTTCACTTTAAAAAATACCAATATGAATGTACATGTATTAAGAAATACCCGAGGCAGGAGGACCGCTTGAGCTCAGGAGTTCGAGACCAGCCTGAACAAGAGCGAGACCCCATCTCTACGAAAAATAGAAAAAAATTAGCCAGACAACTAAAAATAGAAAAAATTAGCTGAGCCTAGTGGCACGTGCCCATAGTCCCAGCTACTCGGGAGACTGAGGCAGGAGGATCGCTTGAGCCCAGGAGTTTGAGGTTGCTGTGAGCTGGGCTGATGCCATGGCACTCTAGCCCTGGCAACAGAGTGAGACTCTGTCTCAAAAAAAAGGAAAAAAACCCAACATATATTATTATCAGCAACTAATACTAATTGCTACCTCAATTATTACATCTTTAAAGTACTTTTTTTACTTCTTGTGAAGCACATCTTCCTACCTGGTTCTTCAGGAGTGTCTTGACTCTTAATTAGCCTTTTCATTTTCATATGATTTTAGAATCAGCTTCACAAATTCCACAAGCATTCATATTGGGATTTTTGACTATGACTTCACATAAGCTATTGATCAATTTGGAGAAAATTGACATGTTTATGGTGTCTTCCATTGCACAAACTTGGCCTGCCTCCCCATTTACTTAGGTTATCTTTAATTTGTCTCAGTAATGCTATAAATTTGTATAGAAGTGTTACACATCTTTTGTTACATTTATTTTTAAGTATTTGATATTGCTAAGTTAAGTGGTATCTTTATATAAATTTCATATTCTAACTTTTTGTACTTAGAATTTATAAATAAAATTGAGCTTTGTATATTGAGATTTGACAACTTTGCTAAACTCTTATGAATTCCAATAATTTTACTGTAGATTGCCTATGGTTGTAGGAGTTGGTAATCTGTGACCTGCAGGCCAAATCTAATCCAAGGCCTGTTTTGGTAGGCTAAGAATGGTTCTTATCTTTTTATAAATGGCTGTAAAAGCAAACACACACACACACACAAAACCCAAAGAATATTTTGCAAAAACAGTATGTGGCCTGCAAAGCCTAAAGTATTTATTGTGAAAAAAGCAAACAGTGCAGAAATTTAACTTGAAATTGTCACAGGTGATTGACACAGAGGGAGAGTATTTGTAAAGTAAATTCTCTTAAAAAGTCCCTAGAACAGCATGCATTTTTTTCATCCAGCAGTTTTTTGACTTTTATTTTTTATTTATTTATTTTTTTTGAGACAGAGTCTCACTGTGTTGCCGGGGCTCGAGTGCCATGGCGTCATCCTAGCTCACAGCAACCTCAAACTCCTGGGCTCAAGCGATCCTCCTGCCTCAGCCTCCCGAGTAGCTGGGACTACAGGC